CTGCCACTTACGGTGAAGATGCCCCACGCATCGATTTGATGCAGGTTCTTTTCGGCTGGGCGTCCAAGTCTGGGCGCCAGGAGGTGTTTGGGCTGAGTCTGCTCACGGTAGTGTAGGCGGGGTAGTTACTGCAGCCAGGTTAGACACCAAAAATGAGTAACATGCCGCACGAAGGACTGAAAACCTCAAGCCGAAATCTCGAATCCTAGGCTCTACATCCCATGGAAAGAGTGCATGCATCAATCATAAGCCCTCTGCTCTCATACACCCTAACCTTCCAGAGGGAACTATACAATGCAATTCTTATTCCTCACGTTCCCACAGGGTCCCTTTCAAGCACCCAAACTCTCCGACCTCCTTCAGCCAGTCCGGAAAGGGCTCGGACCTTAGCCGCGACTGGGCCGTAGTTCGTGAAAAGCAACATCCGCTGGACAAGGGCTGCAAGGCTATAAGGCACGGATGGAGGGACAGCGCAGCTTGTGTAACAAAGACGGACAGGATGAAAGTTGGAAAAAATGGTCTTGCGGGGGGATTGCGCAGGGACTACGTCAGGACCAGCATACGTCATGGAAACATTGCGCAGAACTGATGGAATTTGTGAGGTATTACACAAATACCTTCGGGAAGCCCCGAGCTCAAGTGCTTCTTGGGCAGGATGCTTGTCAGGCCAAGGACAGAATTGCGTGCTGACTGACCATAGGAGAAACCAAATGGAGGGAGAGGTGATATCTGACCATCTTGGTCTACCATCATCACTCCTCTGAGCTACTTCCAGTCTCTCATCTCTTCTTCAAATCAGGTAAAAGCCATCTGGGGTGTGCACATTGGTACATTCTTGTTCATAGATTCATTGGCTTCTCCAACGCCTGTAACTTTTTGGTGCCGCTCATGACCAGGACATGGTTGACTAACTTGGTCTCTGGAAGGGATGCCAACTTCTGACATCCGCGCACAATCTCAAATCCGGAGCATGCTGTGCGATTCCAACAGCGGCTGCCTTTTTTGGTTGTGGCTGTCGGGCCCACATTTGAAGCCTCCTCTTCAGAAAGCTGCAAGAAACAGCATGTAAGCAAAACATAAGGCTTCCTCACAGTACATCAACATCAACGAATGTCGGATCCCACCTTCCATTCCATTGTCCATTTCTTGCCAATTGTCGTATTCTGTACTATTGTACAACAAGAAAAAGCTTTCCCGTGGGGTGTTCTGAAAAGATGCCCCAGACTGCCTTCCGATTGCTAGCGCTTGCGGGGGAGCAGGGGAGTAGAGATGATGATGGGGATCCAGACTCCCACTCCCCCTTAATCACCAGCAAGTCCAGCCCCAAGCTCGAAAGTCCAACGCCGAGTGCCGTGCCCTATTCTTAGCCCGCCGTAGCCGTAGCCTTATCTCACAGAAGCAAGTAATTGCCGACAACTTTCTGAGAGTCTTCTCGGAAGGCAACACTCAGACTGCTACTTGATGATGCAAAGAGCAAGCGCAACGCACAAGCTGGCAGAGGCCCCCGTGTTTGCATTGCTGTTTCTCGAAGGCGCCCAATCTTTTCTTGCGGGAGCAAGCTGGACTTGTTTTTGATTTGGGGGGAACCCACACATTGTTGGGATGTGTTTTGGGCTTGATGGGTTGCCACTCTGACTTAGTTGTTTTCTGCATGTCAGGCTTGCCGAAAACTCATGGGACCTGAACTGATCAGGAGCAGTTGACAGATTTCGAGTAATAAAGGACTTGGAACCTTCCAGACATCGGCAATGTGTTTGAAACAGCTTTGAGAAGGGAAGGTATCTTTCCAACTTGGCGAATCCCACTTGAGGGGTGATGAAAACCCCCCACCCATTTAAATGACCCTTAATCCGGCTATCGTTTGTTTTTACTCTTATCGTTTTACAAAGTTTCGCCGTTATCGTCTGTTTTTACTCTTATCGTTTTACAAGGTTTTGACTTCAAGGACGG